GAGGGGAGGGTGGGATCAGGGAGATGGAGGGGCGGGGAAGAGCGATGAAGGGGCGGGGCGAGGGACAGAGAGTAGACGGTTGACGCGCAGGATCCTTCCGCCAAACGAGCCGAACAAATAGATCGCCTGGCCAAAGCGGGAGTTGCAAAATTGCACGCGGCAGTTGAGAGTAGGCAGGATCCTCCGGCTCTGCAACCCAAGGCTTCGACCTCCGCGGGATGTTTTCATTGGGACTCAGTTTGCAGACTTGGCCTTGTATGAGCCCACCAAGAGATTTCGAAGATTCTGTAATTCAACTCTGTAGAGAAACGTGGATGAAGAGGGAGAATAATAAGAGAAGTAGGTTCGTTCAGGTATTGGGACTTGGGGGACGAAGATTTAATTGGCAATAACAACAAAAAAGCCTCCCCTAGATAAGTTAAATTGTTCACAATTAATTCATGGCGAGTGGTAGGAATATGACTATTTGTATATTATTTTTGTGCACTTTAACTTTAGTGCGGGGGAGATGTTCCTAAACAAAAATGTCCTTGCTGTCTTCGGGTTGTCTTCTTGAACCCGGGAAGTTATGTAATCAATCTTCGGAGCACCAGCCGGACTTCAGCCGGAGCCGCGCAGCAAATGAAGCCTAAGGGTTTGCGCGCCGGCCCGGGTCCTCTCTGGCTCCCCAGTCTCCCCAAGAGTCCTCCTCCGGCGGACCCCAAGTGCCTCCTCTGGGGCTGCGTCGCGGCGAGCAGAGGCATCTGCCTCACTCCGTTTCTTTGGGCGGCGCTTTACAGTTTGCAAAGCCCCGTTCTCTCCGCAGAGGCATTCATTGTTTCTCGAGGCACAGGTTCACTTACCCGAGTGCTGTCTAGGCGCTGGCTCCATCTGAGCATCCGTTTTTGGATGCGTCTCAGATGGCGTGGGATGGGGTCCACGCGTGCTGGCTCCCGGCCTTCCAGGTTCAGGGTTCTTGGTTCATTGCTAGTTCCACTTTGCTCAGTCACTAACCCACTCTCCCGTGCCGCCAGTCCACCCACCAGAAGTCACACAAGTGTCATTTGGCACTCAAGGCGCTGAGCCCAGTTGATGACTGTTGGGGGTCGGTGCCCAGGGCTGCTGTGAACATCTGCCTGTGAAGGTCGGCATGGCTCCTGTCGGACTCCTGGGAACCTTGGGCTGCTCCAGCGCAGGCGCATCGTTGCGGAGGCATTTGGAACAGGACTGTGAACGACTTATTGATTCACGGAACAGACAAGTGTTTATGGAGCACCTACTCTGTGCTAGGTGTTCCAGGCCAGGAAACGGGGTTGAGCAAGACAGACAAGACCCTTCTGTCATGGAGAATCGTTTAGTAAACCAGACAGCAAACAGAGGTGCAAATAAAATTAGCAGCTTGTGATAAGTGCAATAGGGAAAAAAACCTAAAAACACCACACTCTTTCTTAGCATGTGACACTGAGCTACAGTCTTAGCCTTAAAAAGAAATTGAGACAGGATCTTGTTAAGGTCACTAAATTGTGGCTGTGCTCAAATTTAGGATCTTTCTGACTCGGCTTCCCAGATTGCTGGGATAATAGGCATGTGCCAGCACACCTGGTTTAGATTGTTTCTTTTTTTTTTTTTTTAATTGAAACAGGGTCTTGCTTTGTAGTTCAGGCTGACCTTGAACTCACCATGTAGCCCAAGCTGGCTTTGAACTCAGGGCAACCCTCCTGCTCCAGCCTCCTCAGTTCTGAAATTACAGGAGGATACCACTAGGCCTGGGTTAGGTTGTTTCCTGAAAGTCCCACAGTTTGGAAGTCACAGGAACAGTGCTGGGAATTCAGAGCAGCCTGAGCCCACAGCCATGATTATTCTCTGGAGAAAATGCCCTGGCACCTGCTGTGGGCCTGGTCACTGTGGCCCCTGATGGGATGATCTCTTACCCACAGTAAGAGCGACATGGTTGGAGTATTCACCTCTGTCCAGGTCCTGAGGGCTGGAGGAGGACTTCACACTGAGCTGGGACACAGGACAGTCTCCACTGGTCTCCCCTTGAGTCCAGTTGGGAGGACATCAGCTGATGAGTGAAAGAACTCATGGAGTGGGTGGGACCTGGACCCTCCCCCGGGAACCAATAAATACGGGGGAGGGAGAACTGGTTTCTATTTATTGGCCCTTTTCTGCCCTCACCAAGGCTTGGCTTCCCCAAGGACAGCAGATCTGAGCCTTTGGCCAGAAAGGCAATGGCTTGGTAGAGGAACAGTCCCTTCACCTTGTGGGGCCTCTGTTTGCCTGTCTGTAAAATGAGGATAGCATGTTAAAATGTACCTTTCAAACTTCCCAAAGTTCGCTGGGCTTGTTTAGGGGAGTTGAAGGTAGTGAGACGCTGATGAGATAATATCTTCTAGGAAGAGAGGGCTGTGCCTCAAACATCTAAAACTCAAGCTAGACATGGCAGCGCACACCTGTGATCCCAGCCCTGGGGAAACCTGGACATACGGATTCTTACATGAAGTGTTCCATTTTAAAAAGTTGGTCATGAACTCAGATTCTTCAGTGGTGCGGCTCAAGGCAGACAAGCATCCGTGGGTGTTCTGGATGTGTTGCCGAGGTGGGGAGCAGCCCCCGGCACCCCAGCTCAGTGAGCATTGGGATTATGGTGATGTGACCAAAGCCACTGGAGGAAGAGGGGTGTGGCCAGGGCGGGGCTCCTCTGGCTTCCAGAGGTTTTGTGGGGTAGGAAACAGGGCATGTGGGTCATGGCTCTTTGATCATGGGTGCATTTTTATTTCAGTGTCCTGTGGTGTTTAGACAGTGGCTTTTTCTTAGTGGAGAGTATCTTTAAAACAATTTTCTGATACATAAAAACAAAATCGTATGAAAACAGCTCCATTGAAATCCAATATTTTACAAAATTAAGATGCACCTAAAAAAAAAACCCCGTGGGGTGGTGCATGCCTGTGATCCCAGCTACTCGAGGCTGAGGCAGGAGTATTGCGAATTTAAGGTCAGCCAGGTCACAAAATAAAAAATAAAAATCACTGGGTTCAAGAACCAGCACACAAAAAAAGCAGTTATTTTAAAAACAAAAATCCTACATAGTAATGAGGTGCTACATGATATTTTGATGCATTTATACATGTGAAGTGTTCCAAGCATATTAAACATATCTGTCATCTCAAATATGTATTATTTCTTTATGGTGAAAATACTGAAGGTAGGTGAGGTGGCCCATGCCTATAATCCCAGCACTGGGGAAGCTGAGGCAGGAAGATCACCATGAGTTCAAGGCCTTCTGGACTACATAGTGGACCCATCTCAAAAAAACAAAGCAAAGAAATGAAACAACTTATAACTACATACCTGGCATGGGTGGCCTCTTTCCTACTCCACAGTTAACAAATGTTGACATTTGGTCATGTTTAACTTAGATTTTTTTTTTAGGCAAGAAAGAAAACAGCATTACAGTAGATTCCTTTTGACTCCGTTCTAATTTTACTGCCTCTTCCCTGAGGTTCAGCCACCCCAAGAGTGTGGGGCAGGTGACCATGTTGTTACTAATTCACAGCAATCTGCAAACTAATAATCCACAAGGAAGAAAATCAACAACCTTAGTCCCTGAGAAGGATGGATGGGTGGATGAAATGGATTTTTTTTTTAATAGGGTCTCGCTATACAATCCAGGCTGGCATTGAACTCACTGTGTAGCCCAGGCAGACCATCAGACTCACTATGACTCTCCGGCCTCAGCCTCCTGAGTGCTGGGATAACAGGTGTGCACTGCCATGCCTGGCTGGAATGAATTTAAAAATTTTTTTTAATTAAGATTATTGGTACATTTTAGGTATACATAATGATCACATTCGTTGTAGGGAATTTGTATCTGTACATAATATATCTTGGTTCTTATTTTTCCACATTTCCCTTACCTCCCTTCTTTTTAAAAATCAGATTTATGCCAGCCATGGTGGCCCATGCCTTTAATCCCAGCCCTCTGGGAGGCTGAGGCAGGAGGATTGCAAATTTGAGCACAGCCTGGCCAATTTAGGGATTTAGCAAGACCCTGTCTCAAAATAAAACAGTAAAAAGGGGCTGAGGATGTAGCTCAGTGTGAAGGTCCAGGACCAATAAATAAATAAATTTAGACTTATTCAATTTAACTCTGTTTTTAGTATGGCGAGTCGGGCTTCCTGACCTTATTTATATTAAATTATCCTTTCCAGTCATGAAGTGGTGGTGATAATGGCAGGGAGCCGTTTTTTAAATGTTCTATTTGGCAAAAGGAAAAATCCAGTCATGGGAGGAATGAAAAATAACTCGTGATGTGTTTCTGAGCGACAGAAATTAACTCAGAAGCACTTCAGAGTCCACGGAGGACGTCTCAGCTGATGTCAGGCGGGTGTGAACAGCTGGGGAGGGATTAGGGCTGCTGGATGCTATTTGTGTAAAAGT